TGGGAGGGGCAAGGACTGGCAGCATCTCGGAGGCAGTGGGAAGATGAGGCCACATTGCTGGGCGCCGGGTGGGCAAGGAAGTGAAATGGGAAGGGAGAAGGGCTTGGTGAGTGGGCACCCCAGAACATGACTGTGCAAGTTACACGGCCAGGTGGCAGCCACTCAGTCCCAGGGCAGCCCCGGCTGACAGAGATCGCCTGAGGTCCACCTCCAGTGGGCAGACACCTCTGTCTTGCTGTCCTTGTTCCCCCACAGGCAGGAGCAGGAACCACACCTGTGGTTGCCCGTTACTGACCAGCCAGAGGCCGGGCAGTTCTACTCTGTGGGGCAGAGCGGGTCAGGTGGCAAAGAAAACGCAAGCTTTGATTTCAGCAGGAATTTCTGCCCGCCACGGCAGCCGCCACCAGCTTCCTGCTGAGATGGGCCGGTTCAGCCTCACTTGCTACAGCTGGAGATGGTAGGGGAGCAGATGGCCCTGCTTGGCCCAGATTCCAGCCAGATTGCCAGGGAGGTGTGGGCAGAGCGATCGAGTTGGCGTCAGGAGCAGGGAATACACAGGAGGGCGGGAGCCACCTCTTTGCTGTTGCCGTGGGGTCTTGCCTGTGTGTGTGGGGAGGTGGAGATACTGACGGTGGCCTCACTGTGGTCCTTGAAACAGCAGATGCTCAGAGCCCCCTGGAGAGACACAGCCTCTGTCTTTTATGATCGGTTTGAGAGCTCTTGAGAAATGCAAGATGTTGATGGTTATATCCCCAGGACCCAGCCCAGGGCGAGACCAGGCAGGAGCTCAGTGGTTGTTTTTTATTTTTATTTCTAAAAGAAATGATATTAATAGTAGTAGCTCTCAGGTGTTGTCTTAATTAATCCTCATAGCAACCCCACAAAGGAGGTGCTGTTGTGACCCCTTTTGACAGATGAGGACACTGAGGCACAGAGAAGAGGAATAACGTGCTTGAAGCGCAGCTAAACAAATGCACGAGAACAGATGGGTCACTCTGGCAAACTGATAGCCAAGTCTGGGAGTTGAGGCTTTGGGGGCTGGGAGCAGACCTGAGTGTGGACAACCAGAAGTGGTAGATGCTCCTAGCTGGAGGGGGGAGCACGCCCCTCTTTGTGCTCCATGAGCTTCAGTGGAGCCCTTAGACCCTGTCAAGCTAGCTTCCTCTATTGTGTAAGGTGCTCACAGAGCAAGAGATGAGCTTGGGGAGGTTGGGAAACAGGACTGCTGAGCAGGTATGGCTGAGCAGGCTGTGCACTGCACAACTCCAGAGCAAGCCCTTTACATAGATGATGATTGTATAATTCCCTTGGAATTGTGCAAGGTGGTAACCCTATAGGCAGGACCACACCGTGCAGGATCAGGAAGATGAGGGTCTGCAAACCTTTTCCGTAAAGGGCCCAACAGTAAATATTTTAGCCTGTGTGGGCCATACTGTCTCTACTGTAACTACTCAACTCTGGTGTTGTGGAGTGACAGCGGTCGTCAGTGATACGTAAATGAATGAATGCAGATGCGTTCCAATAAAACTGTATTTACAGAAATAGGCTGCCTGCCAGATTTGGCCCATGGGCCATAGTTTGCTGACCCTGGTGAACGCCACGGAAGGATTTTGAACTTTATTCAAAGAGCAATGTGGAGCCACAAGAGGGCTTTAAGCAGGGAGTGAGAGGAGGCACATTTACATTTAATACTGCCCCGAAAGATCTGACTGTGTCCCGCCTCCCCCGGGGCTCCGTGTTTGCAAGAAGAGGCTTGGCCTGGGACTGGAGGACCTCTGATGCTTACAGAAGCAGAAGTCACTGCTGTCCAGTCTCCAGTCACCCTCCTCCCCACGCCAGCTCTCAGCACAGGTCTGGTCACTCTGCAGGGCTCCCGCAGTGTCGGTTCGCGTTCCTGGCCACAGGGGCAGAGTAGACCAGAGCTGTGCTCATCAGCCTGGGCTTTGAAATCAGAGGGTCTCATTTCCTCCATGTGACCATGTGTGATTGTGAGCTGTCCTCTCTTGAGCCTCTGTCTCCTCTTCTCCATAAGGGGAATAATTACAGACATAAACCCATGAAAGACAGTGGTTCTGCATTGACCTGGGTGCATAAAAAAGACTCAGTAAGAAGACGCTGTTGATAGAAGCGTCACTTTTCTTGCCGAGCCCCAGAGGCAGGAGAGCCTGGGCGTGCACGGGGTGCTGGGGTCTTGGCTGCAGTGAGCTGTGTCCAGAGCCAGGCTCCCAGCTAGATCCCAAGTAGAACCGCTGAGGGAACCTTGGCTCATGAATAATACGGGCTCCTTAGAGATGGGGGTGACTTGTCCCACCTCTTGGACTGAAAATAACTGCCCGCCCTTAGGATAATTACATGTTTTGGGCTCCCACACAGCATGGAGAACACCCCTATAATTATTGAGCACAAAACGCTGCTTTTGGCAGCTGATGCTTAATTTATGCTTCAAAGAGTATCTCCTGGACAGGAAGCCTGGTCCACCACCCACCCCCATGGGATGTGAACCCTTGCCTCCTGTGAGTGGAACCTTCCAGAATCCCATCCTGGACAGGGACATAATGGCCACTTCTACTCGCCCGAGGCCATCTGCCAGGCCTGGGACACCCGTACTGGCCCTTGGACAGGCTGGACCTTGGTGATCAGTGGCTTTGCCATGTATCTCCTCTCATGGCCCTCAGGCTGGGACCAGCTCCCAGGTCATCCACCGCTTTGCAGAAGGGCCCCGTGGGCAGCGCTGTTTATTGTAGACACACACCATCTGGGGTCAGCACCAGAAGAAGATGGAGAGGCTGTGTCCTTGGTCTGAGCTAAGGGGCTGCTGATTAGGTCAGGGTAGGTCAGGGCCCTGGAAGGGTTGTTGAGGACTTACTGTGTGCCAGGCCCTAGGGAAAGACCACTAAGTGCCAGGACACTGTCCTGCTTCCTTGGGGCTTAGTGTCCTATAGCAGACAGACCCAAATAGTTATATAACTGTAGTTGTGATAAGGCTAGAAATGAGAGGCATAGGGGTGGTGGGTACATAATAGGGGGCGTGGTGCCCTTGTCTGGGGAGTTTGCGTTGAGACCTAAAGGCTGAGGAGTGAGGCAGGTGTGTGTGTGTGTGTGTGTGTGTGTGTGTGTGTGTGTGTGTGTGTGTGTGTTAGAGATGGATGAGGGTGGATGGGTGGATGGATGGATGGATGGATGGATGGATGACTGAGTCTTCCAGGCAATGGGAACATAATATGCAAAAGCTCAGAGGCCAGAGGAAGTGTGGTGGTGACTCTGGCTGACAAAAGACCATTGTGGAAGGTGTTTGGAGTTTAAGAAATGAGACTGGAGAGGTGGGTACATAGGAACACTGTGTACAGCTGAGCAAGTTATGCGCCACACTGCTCCAGGGGTGCTAGTCTTACAGGCCACAGTGTGAACGGTGCCCCCTGGAACTGCGTCAGATGGAGGCCTGCAGGCAGGGATAAACCCATGGTTAGGGCTTTGGACTCTGTTCTTAGAGTAGTGGGGAACCACGGAAGTTTTAGCATTGGTGATGGGGCTAATTTCCATTTACAATGCCCCTAAGAGTATAAACAAACAAGACCATTTGTGTCAGGGCCTGGGGGGAGAGTGAGTCTTATCTGGGTCCCCTGAATACCTACCTGCACACCGGGTGTGTGACGGGACACTGACTCTTGTCCCCTCTGTTGCAGTACGCTACTTCCTGAAGAATAAGGTCAGCCCTGACTTATGCAACGAGGATGGACTCACAGCCCTGCACCAGGTAAGGCTGGGCTCCCCGCCTGGAGGTGCCCCATCTCCCTGCTTTTTCCTGACCAGAACCCTCAGGGAGGGAGGGAAGGAGGGGAAGCTGCCGCTGCCCCATCTGAAAGGATCTTGGCTGCTTCGGGGATGTGTGTGTCTGTTACAAACACACCCACGGAGCGTCCGTGCGCACACGGGTGGTGCACACACAGCCTGAGGAGGCTTTTGTCTTCTGCATCCTCGCTGCCCAGCAAAGGGCTTGACAAACAAAGTGAGTTTGTTTGGAGCCTGACAGTTTCCGAAGCACATTTGCTCACACCCACCAAGGCATCCATCCACCTTGGTGGCAGAGGTGATGGGCAGAGGAGTTATGTGCCCTGCTTAAGGTTAGAACCATGAACTATTGCCATGAACAACACACCTCCTTTCTAAGGAAGTGCGACGGGTTCAGCCCCCTTGGGCGGGGAAGGGCTGCTGGCTGTCATCTCTTGCCTGGACGCTGCGTCAGTCTCCTAACGGGTCCCCAGCATTTAGCTGGCTCTGCCATGATTCATTCTCTGTGCAGTGGCCACAGGGATGCTCAAGCCAAAAATCTGCTGGTGGTCCTCAGAGTGCTCTGGCGTCTTCCCACAAGGCCCCCCGAGGCCTGGCCCCTGAGGAGCCCTCCATGCTTCCTGGATCTCTGAGCTCCAGCCACACGGTTTTTTGGTTCCTTGCACACACTGTGCTGCTCCACATGCATCGGTTATCCCCAGTGGACAGCAAGAGCCTGAGAACTGTGCTGTTATATACTTGTCCTTTTCTCCTGGGTACCCCCTGTGTCGTTTTAGCCATTAGCATGATCATTTGATGTTAATTGCGCCCCCCCCCCCCGTCCCCCTGCCCAGACTCTGAGCTGCACAAGGGGTGAGCCCATGTCTCTTGCTCACTGGTATATCCCAGCATCTTTCCCCGTGCTTGCATACAGTAGGTGCTCAATATGTGCCTACTGACTTAACGAATTAATGCACTGAAGACTCCCTGTGCCCTGACCCAAGTTTCTGAGCAGGTGGACTTAAATGCAGCCTGGCAGACAGGGGACCAGGCTGCTGGAACCCTGGGCTGGTTGGAGACTCTCCATCTCCTTCCGAGTGCAGGAGAAGATGGAGAGACCACTGCCCTACCCATAAGCCCCCAGGGCAAGTCCCCACCCTGAGGCATCAGCCGGGTGGCATCCTGTGTGTCCTTTCTGCCTCTCCTCCTGTCCCACAAGGCTTCAGGTGCCCACAGATTCTAGCGATGTGTCTTGGGCAAGTCACTTAAGCTCTCCGTGCCTCCCTTTCCTCATCTGTAAAAGAGGAAAACAGGTGCCTGTCTTGCTGAGTTGTTATGAGGACTAAATGAATCCACACAAAAATTCTGCCAGCATCACTTAACACTGGATAAATATTAGCTAGCATTAGTATTAAAATGTGTCACATATTCATTTCTCTGCAAAGCCACTTCACTTATATGAAGGATGGCTCCATTCTTACAACAACCCTTGGAAATATTATCCCCATTTTACAGCTTAGGAAACTGAGGCTCAGGGCTAGCATTGTGTAACAACTTTCTATGATGATGGGATGTTCTGTATATCTGCACTGTCCAGTGTGGTGGCCACCAGCCACAGCGGCTGCAGAGCCCTGGAATTGTTCTGAGGGTTGAATGAGGCCAGGCATGGCCGCGGGTTAGTGAGGGTCATGGCCTTGGTTACTCCTTGAAAAGCATTAACTGTTACTGTTGACAATGGGGTATGTTATCTGTTACCGCTGTTGCGGGGGCTGTCTTTATTGTCATTGTGATCATCACGACTGCTCCAAAGGAGCACGTTCAGAAGAGCTTCCCCTGCCTGCGAAGGAGTGTGCATTTGTTTCTCTTGGCAACAGGAAGCCTTCAGAGGTTTGTAAACTGAAAGCAACATGCCTGGAGTAATGAGGGCGTGTGGAAGGGAAGCGGCAAGGGGGTGCGGGAGAGGTGACGAAGCCACAGCCGAGGCAGTGGGAACGGAGCAGTGTTATCGGCGATGGGGTTCACGTCCGGTGATACATTGGACGTGGGAATTGAGGGGGCGGAGGAGCCATCCAACTGCCAGGTGCCTGATTCCACCTGGGGAAATATAGGAGAGGAGGCCTGCCCACTCCGCCACGTGCCCCCCCCACCCCCGCGCCATTGCACCCCTGCACCCAGACCATAACCCGGCTCTTGCTCAGACCCGGTCTCCTAGGTGCAGGCTGCTCCAGCCGCTGGGCGCCGCTGTCACTGGACTGCAATTCTAAGTGCGCAATCCTCTTCCCCTTCAACCTGAGCCCCCTCCCCACCATCCTCATGTTTTCTGCAGCCCCTGAGGGTGTGTGTGGAGGGTGACCCTGGCCCTCCTGTCCCCTGACTCCAGGGGCTGGGCTGTTCCTCCTCCTGACCCATCTCCCGGCGACAGCCTGAGGCGCCTCGCCTTTCCTGGCCGGCTCACTCCGGTGCCTTTTGCGCCCTCTGCCGGCTGCGTCGCGCCGTTGCATGTTCTCCCCACCACCTGAAGCAGCGCCCCGCCCTACCTCACGTCATCACCTGTGCCCTGCCTGTCCGGAGGGATGCTGTTAGATCCAGCCAACCCCAGGCTGACTAGCGCAAAAAGGGAACCTGGGTCTCTGGCACCATATGTGTAAATGACTTCGCCTTTCCTCTGGCGCTGAGCCCTGATTCCGCGGGGGACGATGGTGCTGCCCCACACCTACCCCCACCCCCATCCCTACCC